GGGGGACCTGCAAGAGTATCGGACATCGGAGAATCTATCCCTTGCGGGCGCGGCGTGCATGCGAGTAGGAGGAGAAGATGCAAGAAGCGGATCTTCCATTCGGGCCCTGAATGCGCAGGGTACTACTTTGACTTCTACTAAATACTCGTTATTTATTATTCCCACAAATTCCAGAACATGCGCATTGAACGACTACCCTCCGGCCGACGTAATCGACTCCAAGAACAGTTGCGAGTAATCGACTCCAAGAACAGGTTGCGATTACGTAGGCTCACTCTGGCCCTGGAGGGCGATAGTATTTCCGTGCAGAACAATCACAAGTCGATGCGTACATACTCCTAGTTACAGCTTGGCCAAAGTGCGTGCCGGCGTGCGTGTTTTCCGCTTGCTCCAGTGCGGGTTCACCGTGAGCGCTTCCGGCTTTAGCTCCATTGCCCAGAGTTTGAAGCTTTCCCCTCCGTTCTCCGGCAAGGGCCAGAACTCCTCCACGCCCAGCAGCTTGCACCCGACGTGCTCGTACACCTTCACGTTGTGCGCTTTCGTCGCTTCTCCAAGGACACGTCGTCCCGTGCGTACGGCGCGCTCGAATACGGGGGCTACGACCGCACCGGCTACGCCGTGGTTGTGGTACTCGGGGAGGACGGAGACGATCTGGAGGTGATAGGAGTCATCGATCGTGTCGCCCGGAGTGGGGAGGCAGCGGGCGAATAGCGCGCCAAGACGCGGAAGGCACTGGTCCATGCATCAGCCCATTGCTGCACTAGCAGGATGTTGACAAGGCAGACGCACGTATTCGAGGAACCACCGTTCCTGCTTCTCCCCGAGCAACCGTCCGAGCTCTTCCCACCTCACCACCTCCCTCTGCCTCTCACTGCTCATAAAATGGTATCCGGGGAGGAACCACAGTGCCTGTCCCACGACCTCCCTCACGCCATTCATCTCCTCCCGCTCGACCTCGGCGACCCACACCTCGCCCTCGCCTTCCACAAGCGCACCTCGGACCATGCACCCGTTGAGGGCGTCGACCCGCTCTGGGGAGAGGTTGCCCGCCAGGAGGGCGCTCACGAACGGGTCATGCTCGAAGGCGAGGCGCATAACGCGCAGGACGCCGGCGAGCTCGCGCTCTGAGTAACGTGAGCGTGAATCTGGGATTGGACTGGCACTTACGTACCGGAGGGAGCGACCAGCCTCCGAACAAGGATCGGCAGGTTGCTGCAGCCGTTCAAGTCCATCCGATTGTCAGAGCTGCAGGTCGCAAGCTGCGATCGCTCGCATCGCCGGGCAGTGGTGCCATCCTATATCCTCGTGTCGTCTGGGCGCTCGTGGAGGATGTGGATGGAACTGTCATCGCCGACTGATGTCCATGCGGCCGGGTAGCCCGGGCTGATGGGGAAAGCTGTGCGCGTCATCGTATTGTATTGTCCTGAACCCTGAGAGGTCACGATCATCCGTTTGCAGATTGTGTTGGGAAAGTGTTGCATGTGCACGGTGAGCGTTGTTTTCCCTTGGCGCGAGTTGAAGAATGTCCGGGAAGAAAGAAGGTGGGTACAGAGCTCGGGGAGGCCGAAATTTGATGAGCGGGGACCCTGTCGACCGAATTGTTAAATCGATCGGTATGTATCGGTGTCCGACGTACATCCGAGTTCTAGTCGTACGACTCTCGCCAGAGATGACTGCCACGCGTTAGGGCAGGCACTCGTCCTGGGCCTCATGCAGCCATGTTCAACTCCAGCAGCTCCAAGCACCAACCGGGAAAGCTCTTCCCCTCAAACCTGCTCTCAAACTCTGCGTGACCCCTCTCCACAGCTCCCCAGCTCTTGTAAAGCGCGACGTTGTACGGTCTATACGTCTCCCATACGACCCTCTGCCCCCGCGCCAGGGCATCCTTCGCCCCCGCCTCGAAAAGCGCACGGCCGATCCCTCGCTTATGATGAGCAGGGGAGACGCCGAGGATCTGCAGATGCTGGGCCTGTGCGCGCACCTCTGCTCCGCCGAGCGAGTCGGCACAGAAGCTGTCAGTGGCTGGTTGGAGCTGTTCCTCTGGTTAGCCCCACTCAGGCAGGAGACAAAAGTACTCACGTAGCTCGTGAACCATTCGCCTACGCCGGGCTTCAGTAGCTCCAAGTACTCGTCCAGCCTCACAGCCTCCCGCTGCTCTTTGCTACCCATAAAGCCCCTCCCTGGGGGGAACCACATCGACGCACCCACGATCTCGCCTTCCTTCTCCGCGACCCAGATTTCGCCGTCGACGGCTATGCCGCGCACGTAGCAGGTAATGAACGTCCTGAAGAGGTGTCGGTTGGAGAGCTCGCCGCCGGTGGACGCGGAGAGGAAGGCGTCGTCGGGGAAAGCGTCCATGGTCAGCTGGATGAGGGAGTCGATCTCCGCTTCTGTTAAGGGAATTGGTGGGAATCTGAGGACCATTGACAGACGCTTACCCGTCGGCTTGCGCAGCTGTCGGATTTGGAAATTGCTGGTAGACATTACGCTGCAATACAGCAGGATGTCCAAAAACGATCGAGCGACGAGGCCTGGCTCCGAACGTCGTGCGTCGGCGTTATGGAAATGTGGCAGCACTCTAACCGAGCGCCCCTACAGGGGAGTGGGCACGGGGCGTATCATCTGGCGGTGTTGTGCACACTGGGTGCTTGCGGGAAGAGAGGGTATGGCAACCATGCACACACGACAGCGCAGAGTCGGGAAAGGTCATCGGCGTTATGAGTGATCGGCGTTGCATTTTGTCGGTGTTATGATGTGTCGGCTTTATGGTACCTCGGAGTTCATGCCCATCGGCGTTGCACCCTAGGCAGCTACCCGACGGGCCCTATTAGGGGTTCTTCGTGGGTGACGGTCGACAGGCCTGTTAGGGGTCTTTCTCGACCACATCTGGCCGGCATGCGGTCGCCGGCGGGCCGCTTACCAAAAACAGATCTGGTTCCCTCTGGTTCCCACGCTGGCCCCATCTGGGCGCTTGTCTGTGCGGCGTGTCTGTCTGCACAACATCTGGTCTCTGGTAGTCCTGCTCTTTGCTCTATCTGGTCGCATGTTTCTTATTGCATCTGGGCTGACCTGGCCAGCTGGCCGATCTGGTCGCGTCTGTTGGTGCTGGTCGCCCCTGCGGATCCGCTGCTGCGATCCCCAATGCCGCTGCCCTTCTCTCGCTCCTGGCCGGCTGGCCATCTCCTCGTCCTGCCGCTCTCCCTCGTCGTCGTCTATCCTCTTCTCGTCGTTGCCTCTTCTCCTCGCCTTCTATACCTATCAAAATGGTAAGAGCTCCCTTTGGGCTCGCTGGGTAGTCTCCTGGCGACGAGCGTTGCTCTACAACCACTGTCAACTACGTGATTTGTGCGGAGCTTCGGTACCGTCCTGCCGCTCTCCCTCGTCGTCGTCTATCCTCTTCTCGTCGTTGCCTCTTCTCCTCGCCTTCTATACCTATCAAAATGGTAAGAGCTCCCTTTGGGCTCGCTGGGTAGTCTCCTGGCGACGAGCGTTGCTCTACAACCACTGTCAACTACGTGATTTGTGCGGAGCTTCGGTACCATGCCTGTCTGCACCTTCACCGGTACAGATTGCGACCGTTCTCCCCTGTCTGTGCCGCTCGCAAGGAGCGCTCGCAGGCCAGCTGGCCTTTGCATGCCGCCCGGGGCAGGCGGCCCTGCGCACGCTTGCTGGGGGCTGGCCTGGCTGGCCGGGCGCTCGCTGCAGTGTCTTGCTCAGCTTCGTCATCATTTCTCATCAACGTCCGCAACGACCGCCATTCCTCATTTCCTCTCTGCTCTCCTCTCACGAATGGACGCTCACCGTGTACACAACGGCCCGACCGTTGGCTCGGCCTACAAACCCGCCGTATATGTTGCCCCGTCTGGCCAACCGTTCTCCCCTGTCCGTGCCGCTGCCAAGGAGCGTTTGCATGCTGGCCAGCTGGCCTTTGCACGCAGCCCAGGGCGGGCGGCTCTGCGGACGCTTGCTGGGGCTGGCCTGGCCGGCCTGGCGCTAGAGTGCAGAGCACATCCCCTCGTCATGCAGTGTCTACCGAGCGGGCCCTCCCTCTCGCAGACATCTGCATCAGACGCTGAGACAACTCTGTCCTCATTGTCTCCGCCTCCTTCGGCTCCCTCCGCTCCACTCCATCCCCGGCTTGCTCAGCTTCGTCATCACTTCTCATCAACGTCCGCAACGACCTCCATTCCTCATTTCCTCTCTACTCTCCTATCACGAATGGACGCTCACCGTGTACACATCGGCCCGACGGTTGGGCCGGCCTGCCAACCCGCCACATATGCTGCCCAACATCCCACCAAACAATACCCCGCAGCCCAACCAACCCCGAGTAGACGAGACGACCCGTACTACGGCCACCAGGAAACTGCAAAGACCTGCGACCTGTTCATACGCCATCTCTTCGGCTGCCCTCACCTACCAGCACAAGCCACAACAGGCGACCCGCCACAGCCGCCACTATCACTGGCCCGCCTCATTGCCTATGCCCTGCACCGTACGCGCCTACCGTCATCGGTCACCTACAGCGCGCTCTTCCTGCTTTCTCGTCTCAAACACCGTTTCCCGGGTGGCCGACCGTTCTTCCCTGTCCGCCCCGCTCCCAAGCAGCGTTTCCGGGCAGGCCAGCTGGCCTGTGCATGCCGCCTGGGGCTGGCCCTCCCTCTCGCAGACGTCCGCATCAGACGCTGACATTGCTTTGTTTTCTCAATGACCAGCCCAAGGCAGGAAAGGCCGGTTCCGGCAAGAAGCCCGCTGCTGCTCCTTACCCCAAGGGCGGCAAGCCCACCAAGACTCACAAGAACCCTCTCTTCGAGTCTCGCCCTAAGAACTTCGGCATTGGTGCGCACATTTGTCAACCATCTCGTATACTGCTAACGCTTGCGACAGGCCAGTACATCCAACCCGTCCGCGATCTCAACCGCCTCGTGAAGCGGCCGGCCGCATGTCTCAACGGCAGGCCGGCCCTCTTAGCTCCTGATTGAATGGGTCGATCAGTTGCGGGTGTGTTGGCGTAGTGGTTAACGCGTCGGCGCGTGATCTCACACGCGGCGGAGGTCAAGGGTTCGAATCCCCTACATGCCTATAGGGAGCCGGGGCTTCTATCTGTCTTGAAGAGATAGGGCCTTTCCGGTAACCCCGTTTTTGCCTTCTTTCCGAGTCCCAGGCATGTCTCAACGGCCGGCTGGCCCTCTTGGCACAGTCAGGGGTCCAATGAGTTGACGAGATGATATTGCCCGAGCATTCCTAGCTATCTTGAATACATTTGTTCTACCCTACGTACTCTCCACGGCCGGCCAGCCCATCACAACCTCATACATAGCACGCCGGAATGCCGCCATATGCGGTCCTTCACTCCTCTGGAAGCCTCTGGCGATACTCAGCATGTTGGCAATCAACCATACGCCGCAATCGTATCCATTCTTTTGCTGGATCACCTGCAGGTCCAGGTCAATCTTCGGCGGGCCGGCCTTTCCAGCACGTCACATACCTCAACATCCTCGTACTGCCAGCCGTCCCAGCCAGGATCAGGAATGCCAGCGACTTCCCGAGCCTTCTCAATGCAATCTTTCACCCACTAATCGCGCGTGGTTCAGCTTGGAGAGCGTCTGGCAGAATAGGACACCTTACCGCACGATATCGACGCGAAGTACCAACATTTTTCAAACTGTTGTAAAACGATAACTTCTTCTGCTCGAAGTCCGCCTTTGCCAGGATCCAATGGTTGAGTAACCCGTCATGAACTGGCCACAGCCAGACCGGCCGGCCGAAGCTGTAGCGTCGATCATATTTCGGCTGCGTAAGCACGTCAGCCTCTCTTTCATCCAAGTCAACTGCAACCACTTACTTCGTCTGCTTCCCCTGTCCTTGGGAGGTGGTACGAGACGTAGCTGTCGAACCACGCCTGCTTTGAGCGATCGTCCCTCACATATGCCAGGTCTGTCAGCATGTGCGGGTCGAAAAATCGTACGGCGGGCAGGCCGGCCGGTGAGGCATTCTCAAACCACTCGTACGGTTGACATTCGTCAAATAGTTGGCGAAAGATGTCGATAATTTGATCATCAATCCACTCATGCACTTTGAACAGAATCATCTGACCCTTGCTGTCGATCATGAGGCGGCGTGGCCCTAATTGAATGGCTCGCCAAGGCGCTGTCTCCCAATTGCTCGGGCGAGGCGTGGGTTCGTTGTTGGAGGATGCGATCCAAGTCAGAGGATCAGTCGTAGGGCGCTGCGTGGCTGCACGGCGGGTGTCCGTGGCTGCGGCGGGCCTTGCTACAGGCCGGCCGGCTGGTCTGTGCACGTTAAAGCGAGCGCCTTGCCCCGTCGCCTGCTCCAGTCGGACCACTTGAGGTACTGGATTCCCAGCCTTGTCCTGCAGAACCTGATTGACCTCTTCCTCCTCTGCTTCAGCCGAGCCTCTCACGTCCTCCATTTCAGCATCCTTCACCTCCCACTCCTCCAGATGTTCAATGCGGCCCGCTGGCTGCAGCCGTGGCCCAGGCGAGAAAGACGACATGCCAGATGGATGCGCCGCATGGCGAGCAACTGGTCGTGCATCAGGTGGTGCAGCGCGTCTGAGGAGTGCCGATATCGCTTGGGGATCCTGCGATTCATGAGCGGCCGGCTGGCCAGCACGTTCGGGCGTACTCGTAGTCGATGCACGGAGCGGCTGGACATCGAAGGGCACCATTGTGGACCTTGCAGGGTATGCACGTGCAGCATCGTTCTGATTTCCTGAGATCGGCGGCCAAGGTGGTGAGGATGAACGAGAGTGGGGTGATGCGGAGCGCGGTGGCCAAGGAGGTGACGACGAGCGAGGTGGCCAAGGAGGTGACAACGAGCGAGAGCGCCGGCCGGCCTGACGGCTATGTTCCACCCTTCCTTCACCATCCTCTTCACCATCCTCTTCTTCGACCTCTTCTTCAGCATATATATCTCTTCTTGATCCCCTCTGCAAATCCAGCATAACCGTTCCGCCCAGCTCCTCCACTGCAACATCCGCATCTCCCATGATGCGATCGTACGCATCCGAGACATCCGACAGCTCGTCCGGCCATCCGTCGCCATCGTCGGCAGCGTGATCTGGATACCGCGGCCCCAGCGCCGGCACACGGTATGGTGATACTGAGGCGGTCGCCCTAGCTGGAGTGGGTGGCGAGAAAAATCGCAAAGGGGGAGAGGGCGGCGGGGCCGGCTGGCCGTTTCGAGCTTGATCTTGCAACCAGCGCTGCGTCCTCGCCTCAGCAATTTTGTCCAGATCGTCCGAATACATGTCAGGACTAGTGGTGTGTTTAGCGCTATCCTTCTCCCAACGGCGACTAGTAGGGGTGAGCGGAGGGAGGAAGGTGAAAGGGTCACTGGCAACCGTCTGCGGGCTGAGCCCTTGCGCTGCGAGCTTCTGATCGATAACCATCGCGTGGACCCACCGCACTTCCGGAAGTGCTTTGCACGTCCACTTCTGCCGAAGATGCCTATGCTGCGTCTGCATACGACGCAGACGCAATATATCCCCCTCATCTGAGCAATTATTTAGCTATGAACATGGCTGGCCGGCCGGCAGGGACGTACTACTACATCGAGCAATCGCTTGGTGCAATGCCTGCCGCTCTTCCATCCACCATCGCACCACATTGTCCGCTTCCCTTTCTAAGCGATGTTGCTCTTCATTACATCTGGCTTTCAGAAGCCAGCCCGTCACTCCATGACGCACGTCCTCGTTCGTAACCCACGCCGGCGGTGGTTGGACGGCCGGCCACCAGACATCGTCCAGGAGATGATGATCTTCCGTCGGGCTCTCTAGACGATCGGGATTGAGCTTAAGGGGTAAGGGGATGTTCCACGCAGGATTGAAGTGCTTTTCCAGTTCGTCAATGTATCCATTATAACGCCGGATGGCGGCTTGAGTTGTATTCCAACGAGGCCCATAGCCTCGCAAGATCTGGTCCCTCAGTTTGGTCCCTGAGTTCGCATGAGGTCATTTCCTTCTCACGTGGCCGGCCAGCCGAACGCTCACCTAGAGGTTCTCGGCCGCCCCCGCGTGCACGCTGAAGGCGCGCTAACTCCCACATGTGTCCGATGATGCGCTCTCGAATGTTCAGCTTTTCTTGTCGTGCCAGCATCAGGAAATGGAGAAACCTGCTCGACACGCCTCGAAACTCTGGAAAGGCTTGCTCGATATGCAGTTCGGTGAACAGTTGTTCACCCTTCTTCATCAGCTCTGCGTGGCTTCGGCTTAGTTCTTCAAATACGGCTCGGCCGGCTGCCCGGCCATGCGCCTGAAGGATGCTGGCTTGCGCTTCCTTGATAATGATTTCTACCCGAAGCATCTCGCTCTGCAAGCGCTTGTACAGGTCGATCTTGGCCTCAATTGCTCTGACAGACTCTGTGAACGGACTTAGGCCGGCCGGACGCCCGAATGCTTCTTTGCACCTACCTGGTTGACCCGAGTGTGGTTGTTCCACCTGAAGTTGGTGCTGTTCCGCTAGCTCCGCGACCGACATCCCGCTGTCTTGTATCAGACGATCACTCCGATGGCGATGAAGGGCCAGCAGTTTGAACTTCTGGTTGAACCAACGCCCGAGGTTTTCTTTCATCGTTTCACCACAATGTCGAAACTTGCGGTCAAGAGCCATCATGCGACGATACTTCTGCTCAGGGCATCAGCATTCTTATCGTTCTCACGAGCGAACGGCTGGCCAGCCAGCCGAGTGAACCAGCATACGTCAGCGCGCCGCAGAATGGGTATCTCCCTTCGGGTGCGACTCCACACCCTCTCGCTCCCTTCCCCGTCACTTAGGCCGAATCCCTCTCTCCTGCGTGGATTATAGGCGACCTGACACGCCCACTCGTGCCCGTATGCATGGAGAACGCTGCATCCCATGATGATGCGGGGAAGCGCGGCGCCAAGGTAGCCATACTGAAACAATCCCAACGTGAGCACAAGTCTTTGAGCGCGCCGGCCAGCCGGACAGCTGAATGGAATATCTTACCAGACGACAACTGTGATCGAGCTGGCATCCAATATCGTACAGAAGACCGACCGTGGCAGCCTTTGGGAGCTCTTTCAAGAGCTGCAAGAGCATGGCGACCACATATTTCTGCTGTTCACCTGGAGTGGTGATGTCGCAGGCCAATAACGGGATATCATGCCGACACAGCAGCACCACGACTCCCGTTGGATCGAAAAGCTTCTCATTGACCAGCGCAGCATCCTCGTCCGCAACCTTGAAGGACTTCTTGCAGCGCTCGAGCGCCTCAGCACTCAGTCGTGCCGCCGTGTGATTGGCCGGCCGGCTGACTCGCAAGCGCGCCATATCTTCGCCCACGGCATCGACAACTTCACTGCTGATGAAGATCTCTGGGGCATAGAACGGCGTTGTCTCCACCCCGCCTCGAAACCGCCGCAACTGCCTGTTGCCGTCAGCGCAGACGATCACATCTGGTCCTCTGCGCTGCGTTTCAGTTTTCCGACCAGAAGGCCGCAGTCATCACCACTCACTGGTTCACTGCTCGGCCCCATGCTTCCTGTGCAAAGCAGGCAGGACAATACCGTCTTAGGCGTTTTGAGGTGCGTCCCTGCCGGCCGGCCTCATCGGATCCTGTGTCTTCGGCCTGCCTCTGTGATTCTGCGCCGGATATGTCTACTTTCTGTTCATCAAGCATGTCGTTCAAACGCCGCTTCCATTCCACCTCCGCCAGCTCGTACCAAAGTGCTGCACTGGCAAAGCTTCGTCGCCATGGGTCTCGCAGCACACCTCGCTTGAAGGACTCGTCAGCAGATCGGCTGGCTGGCTGGCTTGTTTTGGGCAACTCACGTCCATGCTTCCGCGATAGAACCAACCGTGATCACTATGTTTTCTCTGCAATCCTTCGCAGAATGCATCCAGTGGCATGGCGCTTGTTCTGTACAGGTGCAAAAAGTGCAACAGCAAGGCTTGACTGAATGCCATTTTCGCTTTCGTCGGCGTGCTCGGCCAAACTCCACGCAGCACAAGGGAGCGAGCTAACGGATGCTCTGCGCAGTACGGAATGTTGAGTCTCTCCCAACCTTCGGCCGGCTGGCCGTCAGCACATCACACGAC